GGTGCCGATACCGGTCAATGTCAAATGCCTCTTTTGTCGCATCACTAGTATATCTCAAAGGATGCAACAGAGTTGTTGTAAATTTTAAACGTTTTTCACCATAGCTAAAAATCTAAATATGTTAAACTTAATAGATTGTCTGTCGTTTGTTTTCTAACTAATTTGTTTTAGGACCAGGTGTCCACGGAAATTTCTAAAATTTACAACTTATCGGTCACTCTCATTGAACTGGAAAAATTTGTCTTTATTACATCTAATATTTTGAAGAAATCAGTCTCCATTGTACTCGGCTATAGATTGGTTCAGTTAAGTTTTTGTTTAAGTAAAATTCTGGCTCTTTCATCAGGGTTTTGTTTATGTCCCCAATTCCCTAATTGCTTAATTATTTAACTACTACTTAAGTAGAAATAAGTCGAAACCAGTTACTTTGTACTCAAATATTTGTACTCTCGGGAAAAAGTGGAAAGACAAATTTTTATGACAAACAAACACATAAATCATAAATTTAAGGAAAATAAATTCTAGAGCTTTTTCTGTACCTCGTGCATCTCTCTCATTCATTAAATTTAGTTGTAAATGATGCTGTCAAAGTAACAGTTAATTTTTTAACATTATACAAGAATTGTTCACGTTTTTTTCTACATCCCCTTAAAGATGGGATATACATAACTCACTGGTTTAACATTGAAATCCGTGAGTAATATAAAATCGGAGAGCAGAATAAAAATATCAAATATTTTAATGGATTTTTTTAAAACTCCTGTCAACAGAACTATCATAAAAACATACCAATAAATTCTTATTGGTTGGGTTAAGTTATAAATCTACTCATGATTCATATAATCGGGCGAGGGTGGCCAAATATCTAGTAGGCAGGCAGCTAACAGCCTAGAACCGGTCCTGGATAGTATTGGAAGCGTTATATGTGTAGCATAGTCATAGGCTTCCACCAGCTAAACTGGGTGAGTTTGGTGCTCTTTAAAGCGCATGCGCGAATCTAGCTTTTTGGATGCTGATGATACAGAGCTTCCACTCTGCCACTAATACTCGAATATACAATAGCAATCTTATTTTTTTTTCACGTGTAGTATAGAAATTTGTAATAAGATACATAATGCGGTTATAATAAAATATTGTGCGATTATTTTCATATACAGTAATTAAAATTAATATGTATTTCTTTTTTAGAAAATACAAGGGAAGTGGCGCATCCACCGCTTCCAATGACGGCACGCACTGGTTTCTGATGAGTTACCAAACTGGTCTGTGGAGGTCTGGCATTATCATGGTGAAACACTACACCTTTTCTGTTGATCAATTCTGGCCTTTTCTGTTTGATGGTATCACTCAGTTTGTCCAGTTGATGGCCAAACTGATTGTGGAATTGTTTGGTAGAAGTTCAAAAAAAAAATTTTCTTAAAATCTCACCAGAGAACATCATTTTTTTATGAATATCGACTTTCAAAGTGCTTTGAGCTGGCTCATCTCTTCTACTCCATGAATGCTTGCATTCAACATTGTTATAAACAATCCATTTTTTGTCACCAGTTATGATGCACTTCAAAAATGGGTAATTTTCTTGACACTTGAGAATAAAATCACAGATGTCAATGCAACAGAGCAAATCTCTTTCTTTAAGAACATGTGGAACCCATATATCGAGCTCTGAAATGAAACCAAGTCATTTTAAGTGATCATAGACAGTTGAATTTGACAAATTTAATCTCTTAGCAATTTCTTGTGTTGTTATTTGGCAGTTTGCTTCAATCAATACCTTTATTTTGTCTTCATCAGCTTCAACTGGCCTTCTATAACGTGGTGCATCTTCAATATCAAAATTACCAGAATGAAATTTTGTGAACCAGTTTTGGCACTGTTGTTCTGTCAACACATCTTCTCCATACACATCACACAATTTTTTTCTTGCTTGAACAGCATTTTTACTTTTTTGGTAATAAAAAAACAAAATATGCTGAAAATGCTGTTTTTGATTTTCCATATTTGATTGAAAAAAAAAAAAAAACAGTTGTACAGAATCAAACAAAATTTTTTTACAAATAAGCCTTGAAATGTCAGTTGTCAAAATATATAATGACAATGTAGTTTAAAATGAAGTTGGTGGGAAAAAATACAACTAATCCCTTTGGTGGTAAAAAAACAAAATTACTTTCTGAACAACTCAATAATAGATTTCTTTTAATATATTAAAATTGGCACTCAGAATTGATTTGATGGATGCCAATGATGGTTGTCGTAAGTGGCAGAATGAGCAAAATCTTTAAAGGAGAAGAAATAAAAATAATAATAATAATAAGCTGTTACTTTAAAGTTGTTTATAAATAGTTCATAGTAAAGTAGCAGTACTAGAAGTGGTTTCTATTGGCAAGTAATCTGGAAATAAGCAGCAAAATTTAGTTCTCTCAATCATTATCATTGTTATCATTGAGACAGTACTGACTAGTTTCAAACTACCATTTTACAATTCTGATAAAATGATAGTTTTAAAATATCATCAATAGAATATTTTCTCAATATACAGAGATTAAGATGCTAACATATATGTGTGTTATGAAAAAGAACAGAATTAAATATAACAGGAGTAATAAGGATTTTGAACTTAACCTTTTGTCAGATGAGACCCCATCCTCAGGACAGTATTTTTTTTTCTTATGTACACCACTGATTCCAACTGAATTTGATCATCCTGAAGATTTCCGAATCAATGAGTACACTAAACAATACAGGAGTAAGGAATGTTGTGGTTTTGGAAAACAGTTGATTCTTTCATAAGAAATACATATAGCACATCCTCATTACATATTGCACCTGCTTGTGTTATGATGGATGTGTGAAAAAGATGTAAGTACTGTAATTCTTTCATTTTTCCTGCTGTATTTTACCTTTTTTATGTTACTTTTGTTAGTAAACATTAAGAATTTTAAAAAATATTTATTTCTGAATAAAACCAAACATTTATTTATTATTATAAATAATTTATAAATTATAAGTTACAACTGTTATGTTATGTTTATGTTTTTATATTTTTTTACTATAGAAATTGATTGGTTAATTTTTTACTGATTTGTACAACATTTACTTAATTGCAAGTATGATATTTTTATAGGTTTATCTGAATACATGATATACCTCACATTCTTTTAATACCATTTGGAAGAGGAGGAGCAGAATGTCAAAACTACTATACAAGATGAAAGTGAATCTCAATGTGTGGTTCAAATAGTGCATAAAGTAGTGATATGTTATATTTTTTTCCTATTTTCCTTATTGCTTTGTATTATTTTTTCAAATAAACAATTATAACATACAATAATGAAGAAAAACAATGGCAAATATTATTTAATCTGAAAGAAAAAACTGTATATCCCCAGGACTGATTGTTTTAAAAATACAGATTGCACCTGACAAAAAGTTAAAAGGAAAGATACATGGCTAGACTATGATCTTTAGACATGTTATTAGAAATGAAAAAAATAGGTTGTAGGAGAGATTAGAGAGTTCCCTGTACAGGTACAGTACAAAGGAAAACATATACAACAAAGTAAACAGGCTCTATAACCACAATGAAACAACCAAAAGTTTATTTCACTGCCCTTAAGTTCATTTTAAGTCTCAACTATCACAATACATACCTTAATTTTCCTCCTCTTTCCTGCACCTGCTGTTTGACATGCACAACCTGAGAACAAAGAGGGAAAGAATCACATTGCCACTCTTCAGGATCTACTCATCATGTCTTTTCTTCTCATTCACCAAGCAAAATGTGCCCTTTCTGTCCTATAGGTCTGCACAAGAGTTTCTACATCCAGATTCCTTTGATGTCATCAAAGAGGATTAAAAGACACAATAGACTCAATAATCACGGAAGATCGTAATTAGCTTGATGTAATATAGCAAAATGTATGTATAACGAAGATATCAGTAGTAAAAAACTAACGCTTCAAAGTTTTAACAAACTTAAGTTTTTAGCCCAAGCCCTGGGGGCTTGGATTCTAGAGCTCAATTTTCCCAACTGCAACAAGCCCATTTGGATAGATAAAAGGTCAACAATGAACTAAACCACATGGTCTTAAGAGCACAAAGTATTGATAGGTGGGTTGTGATGATAGAAGTTTTCAGAAGACAGAGAAGAGAAGAGAAAGAACCAAAAGAAGATAAAAGTGGACATTGGAGAAAAATTAAAGAAGTGGATGAATGATAGGACAGTTGGAAGGAGGCTTATTAAACAAAATGACTGCATAGACATGGAATATGATGATGGAAGTGTAGGGCAGAGGGCACCACTGCATGACCTTTGCACTCTGAACCTCACTTTGCTCCTGTACCCCGACGAGGAGAGACAACTTTTCACTTTACGTTAGTTAACCTTTTGGAGTCGACAACAGTGACGATCTTGGATTTGTATTATATCTCAACACTATTGTAAATATCGTGTGCCTGATTCAAATAAAGTAAATTATTCGCCTGGATCAGTTTCTCAGTTAACCTCTGCCGACAAACAAAGGATGCAGAACACGTGGTCGGGGTCAACATGGACATCACAGACAAGGTAGGACACAACCCAGACCAATTCCGCCTAACATCGAAATGTGCCACATACAGATTTTAGCCACACCTGCTAAAGAAGCAAAGGAATATTGATTTTGGTATTTTGTTTATTAATAAATATTATTGTGAATGAACTATAATAATTTCAAATTTGGTAAAAAAAATCAAACATACATCACTATAAAATATTTTCAATTTATTTATCTATTAAATTGACTTCACATCATCATCAACACAAAATTTCATTTTGATACATTTCATATTTACAATCATTTAAAATTTTTTTCTTTCATTCATAAGAGAATTGTATTTTATCAAAATAAAAGTGATTTTTCATTTTTCTCTGCATTTTTTTCAAAAAAATGCTAAAATCTCTTGTCAATATTACATTGGAATTATTTACAAATATTTTCTTTTTAATTTTAAATATCAAATTAGATAATTCAATTATGTACATTTATTGCTTTTTAAACACCCACATTATTATATTATTACAGAATTTCGTCACATGAAATATTGATGATGATATATATGAAATCAGTCCATGGTTGAAGTCACAAAAGATAGGAAAGATTTCATAACTTTCTGCTAGTCTATATATTGTATCTTGTTTCACAAGCTAAGTCTGTAGAAAGTAGACTACATTTACACAAATTCTAATATGTCGAATCCTAAATGATGTTCTAAGGAAGCCTCAGATAATGGCACAAAATATTTCCTTTCACATTTTATCTGCCATCAAAATTACTTTGGCTCTACGGAAGGATCTCTTCTTTAAAATAGTATTCATTTCTATTATCTTCAAGAATATCACATGATGCTATATTGAGATTTATCATGGCTATGCAGCTACTTGGTAAGATATTTTATATTCTCTTTTAGCATTTTACTATCCAAGAATAAACTATTATTCTGAATATTATATAATGCTGAATTATATTTATTGTATTTCTAAATGTAATTATTTTTTCATTTCAATCTTCATAGTCCCTCTACTTTCGGAAACTTTTCATTTCAGAATTTCTTTAGCTAAAAGTAATTTTTGTTTTGTTCTATGGTGGAAGTTCAGTTGAAAGTCTTATTCATTACCCTTTTCTTCTGGAATATCGCAAGCTGCTACAGTTATTCCTTGCACTTCTAAATATTTATTTACTATAGCCTTCCAATCCACTACTCTGGAAATATGCTTAGCTGAATTGATCATTTCAGGTATGTTTACAGGAACTTCTAGCAAAAATTGCATTTGTCATTCAATGTTTAAAAAATTAATTAAATTATTATCTATTAAGAATTTATTATAAAAAGTAATTAAATTCACTCAATTTTGCTAAAATTACTAATTAGAAATAACAATTTTAATTAAAAGATAATTTTGTTTATAACAGCATATTAAACTCCCAAAAATTTAATTAAATTAATGTATAACCACTTTATTGGAGTTTAAAAAATTTTTAAGATCTTAACAATTTTTGAGCAAGTGATGGTTATATCCTCATGAACATATGATCTTATTATGCAACATTCCTGAAGATAAATAACACATGCTTGAAAGCACTAGAACACCAATATTAAAAACTCCAAGAAACAATTTAATTTTAGTTTGTTTAGAAATTAATTTGTAATTAGTTCAGTAAAATCTACATTATTTTTATCTAATTTGGCTTTAATCTAAATTAAAAAAAAAAAAAACAATTACAAATTAAATAAAAGTTTAAATAATATATTGACAGCCAAACTCCTATAGCACTAAAGGCATTAGTTTGTCACACTGAAAAACCTATATTTGAGTTTAACTTTTATTTACAGAAAGTCTCTTGGATGCTTTGACTTAGATTTGTTGACCTCATCCCTCATCACTTGGCTGCCCTACTGGGGATCTGGCCAAACTCATGATTGACATTTAGGCCAGTGACACATGGAACACTTTACATAAATATGGAGAGGGAACATTTGCTACAGAGTTCCCAGCATCTCTTAAGTGGGACAGGGGTGCTAAGAATCTCCAGTGAGCCTATTACAGTTGGTACTTGGAATGTTGAAATGCTGTTTGAAGGAGGAAAGTTGAGGAATGTGACTGAAGAAATTAAAAGAATCGGTATAGACATTCTTCGTATTAGCAAAACAAGATGGCCAGGATCAGGTGAATGCCAAACTGAGAATGATATTTTATATTACTCAGGACCAGATGATGGCATCCACCAGAAGGGAGTAGACATAATACTTCATAAAAGGATTGCAAAAGCATTTTGAACATTATACCTTATTCAGAAAGACTGATTATGCTTCAGCTTAAAGGCCAGCTGATTAATATCAACATTGTGCAAGTTTACATATCTACAGCTGATAAGAATGACAATGAAATTAATCAGTTCTATGAACAACTAGAGGTTCTCCTTCATCTTACATCATTATGGGAGATTTTAATACTAAGGTGGGAGAAGGTAGGGTTGAGGATGTAGTTGGAGACTATAGACTAGGATTATGGAATGAGAAAGATGACCGCTTGGTACAATTCTACCAGGAAAATGAATTAAAGGCTACTAATACTTAGTTTAAACTCCTCAAGAGAAGACTGTATATGTGGAGATCACCACAGGATGAAGACAGAATATAAAAAATCAAATAGACTATATCTTAATTAATCAATGTCCAAAGTAGTGTGAAGAGCGTGAAAACCTACCCAGGAGCTGATGCAGCTAGTGACCCCAACCCAGTAATCTCAAAAATGAAACTGAGGTTGAAAAGGATTAAGAAGGTTAAAAAACTTATAAATACAGCAAAAAATAAGAAGTCTTGTGGACCAGATGAGGTGCTGAACTGGTGAAGTTGATCAATAATGATAACATAAAAAATATTACAGGTTATTTATCTCGAGATTGGCTAAAATCAAATTTTATTGCCCTTCCTAAAAAAAAGTAATAGCAAACAATGTGAGGAATACAGACTGATTAGCCTAATGAGTCACATACTTAAAATGTTCCTAAAGACAATTCATAATAGAATACAGTAGACCCCCTATAAAAAGGGTTCATATAATTCAGATTTGTATATAACAGCGAAAAAATTGTGACCGTATTCGTGTAAATATGCTAAAAGAGACTCGTATAATTCGGTAAAACAGAATTGCCGACTTATGTCATGACAGGATTGGTCGAATCTAGACCAATAGCGGATATTGCACAAAACCATTGAGTTTAAACGAGCAGTGGACCTACTAAAAACCATTTATTATTTAACATCCATAAAAATTATATTTATATTAATGATGTCTCCAAAGTTCAGTGAATTTTTCGCTGAAAAATAATTTATCAGGAAGCACGCGCTGCCCTATTCGATGCACCGCTCCACGATGAAAACAAGCTTAAGCAATGGTGTCATTGAACTCGGTAAGTAATCCTACAATTTTTTGTTTATAGCATAGTTTATATGGATTATTACAAAAAATTATATGTGTTTGGAAATGTTGAGTCAAATTAGTCTAGAATCGATTAATTTTATGGAAGAAAACCTTTCAAACAGCCATAGTCTGTAAACTGCATACGTGCCGGGCTGTGATTGGCTCATGTATTTAAGGACTCGTAAAAAATGAATTTCATAAAGAACGGAACGTATCAACCATGTTATAGGGGGGTCGACTGTATATAGAAAATGTGAAAGCTCAGTCAAGAAGAACCAGTTTGGCTTTAGAGAAAAAATAGGAACAAAAGAAGTTCTATTTAGCACAAAGATGTAGAGAATAACTAAACTTATATGTATGTTTTATTGATTTTGAAAAAGTGTTCAACAGGGTCCTGCACTAAAAATTATTAAAAATACTTGAATAATTGGGACTTGATCAAAGAGACATTAGAATTATTAGGAAACTCTCAGAACCAGACAGCTTCTGTTCGAATAAATGATGGCAACAGTGAAGAAGTGAAGAATGTGAAGAGGGGTACGACAAGGTTGCATTCTGTCACCACTGCTTTTTAATACCAGTAAATACTTAGAATTTCTGTTCAAGAAAGCTTTTCTTTCCTTTTAAATTCTGAGTATTTAGAAGGAAAGAAGGAAGAAATAATGATTAACAGGGAGGTGATAAACAATTGTGGTGTTACAACACCATTTTGATATTTTTTTGTATTTTTTTTTTTGTAACTGTTTGTCCTTGGTAGGGGGAGTCACCTTTACTTTTCATTGAGGGGTACTTAAGGTGTTCCCCTTTGTTTCTTACTATTCTTTTGTGTGTGATTCACCAGCAGAGAGTGAAGAGGACAAACAAGCAAGGACTACAAAAGTGAACAGTGTAGAACTTTATTTTTATCCGTTTACATCCAAGTTTTGGGAAAGACTCTTCTGAATGAACTATCTCAGGATTTTGCTATTATTTGGATTCAACAAGGTGAAATAGGTAGTTTTTTTTTGTGCTGAAAAGAAAAGTGGGAAAATGTTGTACAGTAATTTGAACTTTATGCGCTTAATATTGTAGCTCTTTATTTTTTTTTGTACAAATTAAATTGGATTCCCCTAGTCTGGTACTACCGGGAATTACACAATATATGTTATGCTGATGATTCAGTTCTAATTGCAAATGGTTTAAACGACCTTCAGCTACTCTTACATTAAGCAGGAAAAGAAGGTAGGATATGGGTATGAGCATAAATATAAACAAAACCAAATATATGGTGATAAGCAGCAACAAGATTACTTCATCTAAGCCAGTGTTTTTCAACTTTTTTTTATCTCTCAGCATATTTCAACCTATAATTAAATTTCTGCAGTGCAAATTTCCATGGAAAAAAATCATACAATTTAAAGTTGTGTTTGTAAACATTCAATTGCCATATTACTTGCCACTTAACCTAATTTTTTAGTCTATATTTTTTATGAATTAATTAAAACAGTATTGTTGCTCTTTAAAATAGCAGCAGGTTAAAACAATTGTTATTTAAATTAATAATTTTCATTTACATAAGAAAAACAATTAACATTGTCTTAATTTGCATTTAAAAGTGATATGATAATTACCTTTAGAAACCTGCCCAATGTCATGCTATTCTAAGTTAAAATAATTTGAGCTAAATATGGACAATTATAGATACATTTTTGATTTAAAGAAAATTTCATTTTAAATGAAATAACCCAGCATTATACTCATAATTTTGCTTATGAATATATATCTTTTACTACATTATTCATATGTTTATTTATTATAACAATGAAAATTTTGTATAATCAATTTAAAAGAGGTTTTAATTTAACATGTCCTTATTGTTCTTTGGGCTTCTTTTGAAAATAATTTATTTAATAAATAACTTTCAAAAATTTCCATGACATACCTATGATCCTCTTTGAACCAGTTGAAAATCATTGATCTAAGCTAACACTTAGAGGATTAAACAATGAAAGAGTAGAACATTTTAAGTATTTAGGATACTGAATTAATGAACAGATCTATGATGAAATTGAAGTGAAAACCACAATTGAAATTGATTGGTGGAATTTTATGAAAATGAAATCTTTGCTCTGCAATTACCAATTGACTTTGAAATCATGCTCAGAATGATGAAATGTTACATATGGTCTGCTCTTTTATATGGAGTAGAAACTTGGAAATTAAAGGAGATGATTAAGCAACTGAAAGCATTAGAGATGTAGATGTGTAGACGAATGTTACGTATCCCATGGACAACTAAAATGAGAAATGAGGAAGTTTTTGAAAACATAGAGAGAAATAGAGAACTAATTGAAGAAAAACAGCCTATCTAGGACATCTAATGAGAAACATCAAGTATCACATTCTTCAAGCCTGGAAGGGAAAATAGCAGGAAAGAAAAGAAGAGGAAGAGAGAGATTGTCATGGCTAGACAAAATCAAGGCATGGATTGGTTTTAACATGGAACAACGAATAAAAAATGTTGGAGACCAGGAGAAGTTTGCAGAGATGGTCGCTGGACTCCAAATGGAAATAGCACACTAAAACGATGTTTACGTACAGGAATAACCGTGACCTAGCCATACAAGAACCACAGAAATAATGCTTATCCAGCTGAAAAGAAACTTCATCATGGTATGTCTGTGGGCTGTGCAAATGACAAATTTATATTTTGTTCTGTCTTTGTGTGCATATGGTGCCATGTGGCTATTTGCATATCATGCTGAAGAGCTTTGCCATGGTACCAAGTGGCATAGTCAAGTCATAAAAACTTGCACTATGCCATGTCCTGTATGTCACTGGCCTAAGAAGT